ACTCAATTGCCTTAATTTCAAAAGAAAAACTCAAATCCTATAACTTTATATAGGTCGGAACGGAAGAGCAGATGTGGGACTTATACCTGCAAAAGTGGTAAGAATGTTCTTTGAGTGAAAGAAATGAGAGGTACAACTAATAAATCCTGAATGTTCTCAGGAAGGACTTACTCCTTGTCTAGGTCAAGGAAGCCTCTAACACCCTATGCATGCTAGACAATGACATAAATATAAAACTTATGTTAAGCTAATCCGGTTGGAGAACCGCGAGCACTTCTTCTCGAGACATGCAATACGATGCAATTATCTAGTTTTAAGCATGAAGGCCCTATTAGGGATGATTTGGGATATAGTCATGTTATGCAAATCATTTTTAAAATTGGCTCAAATGTCATGCAGAAAAGTGAAGTGCATGTTTTAAATAGTTTAATATTTTAATCCTAAATTTTAATTAATCTTGACCATTTTATTATGATTTTAATAAAAGTTTTATAATATTAGGGTCCTTAAAGTGTCTAAATTTTAGCGCAAGATTCTTAGACAAATCATAATAAAAAAGGGTGAAACTTGCAATCACACGTGAAATCAGAAAAGTAAAGCAAACTGAATTAAAATTATAATATGTGACTGTTGTTGGGCTGACAACATATTCTAGAAAAACAAAAATGTTGTCAGACTTTGCATATACATACTTAGTCTTAAATGTTATACATTAATATCAGAATGCAGAATTAATATACGAGAAGTGAACATTTGCTTCTGGTCCCCACTATGTGGTTCCACGTCTCAAGCACCTAGGAACTCGTGTCTGTATCTTATTTCTGCTACATGACATCTTAAAGGTTTTATTTAATGGGAGGTTTTTTGAGTTGTTTGTTATGAAGTGAAGTTGTGCCGATATGCCTTACGCTCTTCGCAACTTATAGTTTTTCTTTCTCTGTTGTTCAGATAGTTGTCTTTCTGTCTTGGAAGTCTCAATTTTATTATTTGGGACAATTTTTTGCTCCATTTTAGTCATAAAAAAAGTGTTGTTGGATTCTAAAGGGTAATCTGTCGTCTTTCCCTTTCTTCCATCAGCGACCCCCTGGTATATTCAGATTTGCTCTTATTAATTGCTTTATATTGATCAATAGTTTTCCTTCTCTTATGTCATTTTTCTCGCTTTGTCATTGCTTTGTCATAGGCTTGCAGGTTCAGCTTTTTGTTTGCTCCTCTTATCTTCACTTGAGGTTTTCTCTCTCAAAATTTTGGTTGTTTGGCTTACCTCCTTCGGGATTTCTGATTTTTGAGTTTCGTTTGTGTGTGTTGTGCTCCTGAGGGAGGAACCTCTAGGTTTTCTTTGAAGCGAGTTGTATTTTATTTGTTGTAAGGATCCTCCTGTCATTCCTTATAATTTTTATTTTGCATGAATAAAAGTCTCTCTAAGATTTCAAAAAGTAATAATAATAACAATACGTGGTAATTACATATAGAGCACCCTGAACTTTGATATTTAAAAATCAAGCACTCTTTTCATCTATTTTTTAAATTCTCGCTGAAATTTTAAAATTCAAGATAAAAATTCAACTCATATTTTTCAATTTTGTCAAATTCTAAATAGTTTGAAATATTAATTTTTCGGGAGTTTTATATGTTATTGTTCCGAAAATTTAAGTAGAAGAAATATAAATTACTCGCGTGCTGGCTTTGCAAATATTTTATGTTGTTCTTAGTTTCAGATGGTTTTATCCGAAGGAGATGGGCTTTTATACAGAAATGGCCAAGATCGTGGTGGACCAAATCTGTTGGGCCTTTAATTGCTAATTTTGCTTTAAGATTGAATTTATATGGCTGGGATAATTTCTCTGTTGTATGTCAGAAATGTGTCGGCAGGAATCTCGAACAAATCAAACAGATTAGGAGGCAATAAAGCAAGAGCAGGGGGCCTATAGAAGGAAGACCAAAAAGTCTTATTATTACAAGATTAAAGGACTTAATTGACCAAGTGCAGATCCCTCAGATCGGGACTCGAAGCCAACCGATTTGTGTCTGTCGAAATGAAAGTCAAGATATATTGCGCCGGGAGAAGCCATCAACCCAACTCTTCCCACAACATCGCCAACCATCT